TCTTCTTTTGTTTCTTCCTTTCTCCTTGTTTTCCCTTTCTTTTTTCCCCCTTCCGCCTTCTTTCCTTTCCCTCGTTTTTTTCCTTCTTTTTTTTCCTTTTCTCTTTCCTCCTTCCCCCTTCTTTCTTCTCCCGTGTTTTTTCTTTCTTTTTTTTCCTTTTCCTCTTTTCCCTCCTTCCGCCCTTCTTTCTTCTCCCCCGTTTTTTCTTTCTTTTTTTCCTTTCTTTCTCCTTCTTTCCCTTTGTCTCGTTCTTTCCCGCCCCTCCTTTTTTCCTTCCTTTTTCCTTGTTTTGCCTTTCTTTTCTTCCCCCCTTCCGCTTCTTTCCTTTCCTCTCGTTTTTTTCTTTTTTTTTTCCTTTTCTCTTTTCCTCCTTCCGCCCTTCTTTCTTCTCCCCTGTTTTTTCTTTCTCTTTTTCCTTTTCCTCTTTTCCCTCCTTCCGCCCTTCTTTCTTCTCCCCTGTTTTTTTCTTCCTTTTTTCCCTTTTCTCTTTTCCTCCTTCCGCCCTTCTTTCTTCCCCCCGTTTTTTCTTTCTTTTTTTCCTTTGCCTTCCCTTCCCTCCTTCCGCCCTTCTTCTTCTCCCCCGTTTTTTCTTTCTTTTTTTCCTTTTCCTTGCCTCCCTCCTTCCGGCCTTCTTTCTTCTCCCTGTTTTTTCTTTCTTTTTTTTTTCCTCGTCTTTCCTTCCCTCCTTCCGCCCTTCTTTCGCTTCCTTTTTCTTCCTCTTTTTTTTCCTTTTCCTTCTCTTTCTCCTTCTCTTTCCTCTCTCTTTTTCTTTCTCTTTCGTTCTCCTTCTTTCTCTTCTCTTCCCCTTTTTGTTCCTTCTTCTTCTTTTCTTTTTTTTTTTTTTTGTTCTTTTCTTTTTCCCCTCTTTCTTTTTCTTTCTCTCCTTTTCTTTTCTTGTCTCTTTCCCCCCTTGTTTTTCTTTTTTTTTCTTCTTCTTTTTTCTTCTTCTTTTCTTTTTCGCGGTTTTTTTTCTTGCACCCCTTTGTTTTTTTTTTTCAATGCACTGAGCCCCTAGTTGTTTCGTTTTATTTGTTGTTGTTTTTTTTTTTTTCTTTCTCACTTTTTTTGGTGTTTCGTTTTTTTTGTTGTTTTTTTTTTTTTGTGTTTTTTGTTGTTGTTATTTTGTATATTTAACGTCGCCAAAGTAGTGGTTTTTGTTATTGTTGTTGTTGAAAAGAATGCCATATATTTTGTTGTTGTCGTTAAATTTTTTTTTTTTGAGTTGAGTTGTTGTTTTTTTTTTCTACTGTATAGAAAAAAAAAGATCTTGTTTTTGTATTTGAAAAACTATACTCTCACACTCTCTAATTAACTCTCTAAACTTGCTCTCTAAGACTTTTGAAGAGAGCAACAAAAAAACACAAATTTATTTATTAAACATAATTGATTTTTGTTTAATTGTATGGGTTTTTTTGAAATTTTGTTAAATTTAACAAAATAAAAATTTTTTATATTTTTTTTTTTTATAAAAAAAACACAAAATAATTTAATTTTCTTTTTTAATCACCTTTTTTATAATTGCCAGCTTTATAATCAACGCGTTTTAGTCAAAATCACTCTCGTTGTGGTATTTCATGGAAATTTTTCTCTTTTTTTTATAAATTCATTATATATATTTTTTTAAATAAACTTATAGTACGAGTTGTTGTAATTTTCAAATTTAATTTCAAACTTTAAACTATAAAAAGTTTTTTTTGAAAACTTTTTTTTTTAATAAATCTTTTTAAATAATTTCTAATAAAACTTTTAGAAGTTTTTTTTGTATTTTTATAATTTTCTCTTTTTTTTCAAATAAAATCTTAAAAAAAAATCTTTTCAAAAACTTTTATATATTTCAACCGCTTCGCTCAGCACCGTAAACTAAACTGAACTAAACTGCTGGGCACCAGCAACATTTGTTTTTTCCTCGCACACACAAAAATTCCATCAGAGATTCATTCCAACAATGTTTTTTGGATTTTTTTTTCTTTCTTTCTTTCGTTATTTTATTTTGTACACTTTGCAATCTGTATCTCTGTGTATCTTAAAGATACTCGCGGGTTTTTTTTTGTTACGAATTATTGTGGTATGAGTAAAAATGTTGGATTTGTTTCTTTACAAGTTGCTGTCGTTACGTTGCGTTCATTGTCGTGGTCGTCGTTGTCGTACCTGCTATTAAAACATTATGGTGAGTGTATTGCGTTTGTTTGTGTGTAGAAATGTAACCGTGTTTGTGTATCTGTGTTTAAAACTATTTTGTATATTGAGGTCTTTTTTTACCACTGATTTTCCCCGTTCGTTCTTCTATATATATTACTCTCTTTTTTTTCACTATAACACTCTCTCGTTACTCTACTCTATTCTCTTCAGATCGTTTTTGTATAAAAAATATTTGATTTAGCATTGCCAACTTGAAATGTCTACCAGTTTGTTGTGGTGTGTGTGTGTGGTATGGCCGCAACAACAACAACAATACCAAGAAAGTACTAAAGAAGTAGGAACAAAAATCTAATTGGCAAAGAATTTGAAGAACAATTTTATTTCTCCAAATCACCATAATTTCTTGCAAGGTCAGTTTATCATCTTTGGCTTATAGAAATGTTGTTGTTGTTGTTCCAAAGAAATGCTGAAAACCTTGTAGGAGTTCAAAAAAAAAAAAAAAAAACGTTGAGAATGTTAAGGAGCAGAAAAGTATGTGGCTGATGTAAAGAGTTAAGGTTGGCAAATCTTACATGACCAATACTTCCTTAATCCAAATGGATCTTTCGGTATTGATCATTGGTTGTGATCAAAGCTCATCTGATCAAAACTTGATCTACTCAATTAAACCATTCAAATTGATCCTTTTATCCATTATAAGACTGCTTTATACAAAATATATTTTAGATGATCTTGTTGTCTTGAGATTTGAAAATATTCTGATATTAAGCGTTCTTGAATTGTTCTTAATACTCGATTAAGTTACCGAAGTATATCTGAACAACGCGATCCTACCTTCGTCAATCTCACGCAACGCTTCAGCTCATTAATGATCGGGTATTGATCATCGCTGTGATCAAGGCTTCATCTACTCATGTTATCAATCTTTCCTACTCCATTAACCATTTAAATTGGCCCTTGAATCCATCTTAATTTATTCTACATAAGATCATTCAGATGATCTTGCAGGCAGGTTGCCTTAAGATTTGAAATGTATTCACCTTTATTCTACATAAGATCATTCAGATGATCTTGCAGGCAGGTTGCCTTAAGATTTGAATATATTCTGATATTAAGCGATCTTGCATTGATCTTCATACTTGAAATAAATTACCGGTATATATCTAATCAATGCGATCGATCCTTCCTTCTTCAATCGCCCTAATTACATGCATCTTAGCATGCAACGCTGCAGCTCACGGTTGATCCCGTATTGATCATCACTGTGATCAAAGCTTTATTTACTCAAGGCATCAAAGGCTTTCCTACGCAATTAACTCAATTAACTATATTTCAGATGATCTTGTTGTCTTAGGTTAGGTTAGGTTGATGTGTAGTACATCAAATCCGAAGAAATACATCTAGACCCACTATCGGGCCTGTTGTGCGCTAATTTTCATGAAAAAAATGGTTTAATGTTCAGAAACTCAGTTTCCTGGATGTAATTCGTAAGAATTTTCCAAACAGTGTTAGTCAGGAATGTTATTTCCGGAATAACATCACTTTCAAGATACTTGGATCTAACTTCGACGAATGCTTAACAGTGGCAAAGAGAAAGTGCTCCAAAGTATCACTGTCCTCTCCACATGCTCTACAATCAGCTGAATCCGCACAGCCAATTTGGAATATATTTGCTCGTAATCCTGTGTGTCCACTCAGAATATGTACATCATACTAACTTCAGACTTGCTGGTCTTGTTCTCATCAGTGTCACCCCATAGGATCTTTGTGGTTCTACCCACCGTTTCATTATTCCAGACGCCTTATGGATTCTCTCACCCATATTATTAATTCAGCTTTTGTTGCGTCGAATCGTTTTGCGTTTGTCAGGTTCCTTCCCTTTAAAACTATTACATTCGCCCTTTCGTTGCCGACTACTCCCGAATGGTCTGGTATCCTATGATGTAAACCTTAGCTCTGGGAGAGTATTCAGTTAAAGCTTTCTTACAATCCAATGCGGTCTTAGATTTAATTCTATCACATGATATCGCTCCAATTGCCTTCTGGCTGTCGGTAAATATATTAACGGCTGTGGGCACCAGTATTTATTCTAATCCAATTTACACATTCCGTTATTGCTCGGACTTCTGCCTGGAAGCTTGTGTTATGATTTGGTAAACGGTGGTATATTTCTGTTGCTGGGTCTTCAATATAGAACCCCAGACCCACTTTATGCCGCAATTTAGAGCCATCCGTGTAACAAGGGATTCCTACTGGTATTTGCTCTAGTTTTCCGCTTCACCAAGACATTCTATCTGGGATCAGAGTTTCAAAGTTTCCGACATATTCTGTGTCTGATATGCGATCAGGCACGTCCGATGATTGTGTATAACCTTCCAATGTGTCCAGTATACATTGATGACGTATCCTATAACCGCCTTTGGCCAGTTCGCCAAAAGTAAAGAGACGTTCGGCTGTAAGCGACGCCTTATATCTTGTTGTCTTAAGATTTGAAAATATTCTCATATTAAGCGATCTTCAATTTTTCCTTATACTCGATTAAGCTACCGGAGTTTATAAAATCAACACGATCCTACTCCGTCAATTCCTCTAATTACTTGCATATTAACAAGCAACGCTACAGCTAATGGATCATCCGGTAATGATCATCGCTGTGATCAAGGCTTAATGGCATTAAATCTTTCTCTACTCAATTAACCATTCAAATTGGCCAATTAATCCATCTTAAGACTACTTTATTCTGTGTAGCTATTTCTGAATTTGTTTCTTGAGAATCCTTGCAATAAATTACAGGAATCAATACAAGATATTTTAGATGATCCTGTAGGCAGATTACATATAATCAATGCAATCCTTCTCCTTCAATACCTCATGTTACAGGCATCTTTACACATAGCGCTGCAGCTAATGGATCAACCGCTTTAAGAATTTGAATGTCTTACTCGATTACATCTCGAGAATACTTTCTAGATTATTCGTAAAGTAAGAAATTTCTGGAATATTTGAGGTGATCTTAAAAGGCGATCAACAGAATTGAATGTGGATTGTACTATTTCTATATGTGTCTATATCTCAGCGGATATATAGATTTATTTCTCGAAGATTGTGGACAGGTGGATTGTACTATTTCTCTCTCGAACAGCATAGCGTTCGAATAATGCGATCGGCTGTTGCGATGAAATTTCGGGACTATGAACTGGTGATGATCAAATGTATCCTCGGCCTTTCCTTGGAATGGAGTCGAAGCAGAGCATCATATATTCAGGCTCTACGGGTGGCCAGTTTTCCGCAGGACTTGTCCTGGCTGGTCTGTTGGTTGAGGTTCCTTCGGGATCCTTGTAGTGGCTGTGGTTTATATCCAAAATTCGCGGGGCGATGTGACAGAGCAATTTATGCTGGATTCCTGAACCCGTTGAGTATCTCTTACTCTTCGCGTAGTAGGGCGCTAGGATAGGTTGTGGAATTCTCATTCCCCAGTCATTCCGTAGATCGTTCTTTATGTTCTGAGAATGGAACAGATGTAGTTGGTGAACGATCGGTAAAGACTACTCTGCTCGACAGTAGACTAGTACTGATTTAGTAGACCTTTTACTTCAGGGAAGTTCTCGGTGCTGTTGCCATCTCAACAGGATGCATATTGTTTCATGCTATGCGACTTATGGTTGAGACCTGCCACTCAACTTGTCGGGG